AACTGAACAGTGCCCCAAGAGGACTGACTGGCCAGGCTCTACAGGTTGTGATTGGTAGGGGGTGATGTAACTAGAAGGAGAAAACAAATTCCAGGTACAGTTTTTTCTCTTTGCATGTCCCTGCAAGGGTGACAAGGAAAGGAGGGACAGGGAGAGTAGTGATGGAATATGCAGTGGTAGAGTTGCAAGCTGGAAGAAATGGGCAGTGTCTGGGGCATTGGGCTTCAGTGTCAGGAGAGCTTGGAGACAGGAAAGTTCACAGTCAGGAGTGCATGGGGTGCAGTGGTAAGGGTGCTGGTTAATGGGGAGATGCAATGTCAAAGTACGGAGTGCCAGGATACTGGCTGCTTCATAAGTTCAAATGCAAATGCTGTGGGCCTGAGGATAGGCTTCTCTGACAACGTGCCACCCCATATGGTGTATGCTGGGGGGTACTGGACAACATCACATGTGATATGTTTTTCTTGCAACAATAACACATGTGATCAATGCACAAGTGCAGTAGGCGTCAAAGGAATCATACTGCCTTGTGGAGTACATTAATTTGTATGCAGTAGCGCACAGCAGTAGGGTATGAAGGTGGACTTAATATTTTAAACTGCATTAATGATCATGAGATGTGTAGACAATGAAGACTTAAGAGGAGACTTCTCAGAATGGCAGGCAGTAGGCAAGCAGTTTGTGGTTTCCAAAATGCTTTAAGAAACTTCTAGTCTTTTACATCTTAGCTGCTATGTTACTGTATACATTTTTAGAAATTAGTAAATATTTTTCAGAACAGTTCAAAATTTAAAAAGTTGGAGGTTTGTATTGTTAAAGAAACACATATATAATTGCCTTATGATTGTTTAACTTAAAGGATACATTTTTAACTTAAATGAAAGGTACATTTTTAAACACCATTTCACTGTGCTGATCCAAACACACCTTTCCCTCCTCCACCACATACTCACACAGTTCTGTGTTCACAGTTCAAGTCCACCAGCATTTTGCCACAATCTTTACCTAGGTATGGCATGCTTTCCACCTCTTGCTGCCTGCATGTGTGCAGTAAGACCACATAGACATACTGTATATGGCCCCATAGAAGTCTATATGGTTTTACTGCAGATGTGTACGAAATGGGACCCTCATTTAGTAATACCGCACATGCCAGCAATCAACTCTTTGCCCAGAAAGTCTTTTGACACTAATAACTTATTTCCACCTCTCTTTGGTAAATTTTGACATGTAGGAGCCAAATAAGTAATCAGAGATAGGGGACTTCCTGTGCTGGGAGCTGAATGCTGGTATTTGCAGGTTGGAAGAGATCAGCAGCACTGTCACCAAATTCCAAGCCTGCTATGGGGCAGTTTAGAATATTTATGTGATATACAAAATATATACAAAATTACATCGATACTTGTGGAAATGTGCAGTGTGACGGACTCCCTGATACCCCGACTGGATATCTCCGTCTTCAGCCTATTCCCTGGGTGCTGGAACCAGAACCGGTGACTATGGCATGGAAGGCTAACTCCAAGAATCAGACAAGACTGACTTTGGAGTGAAACAACAACTGCTTTATTGAGGCCGAGCACACGGAATTTATATCTGACAGGATCAGATTAGAGTTCATTGTTACATGGAAGAGTGTCCTCCCCCAGACAGCTAGGTGCCGCATTGTATTGTCTTACTTAGAGAGGAGCTTAATCTCATCACTCTAACAATGGCCCCTCCAGCCCACCTGCTGCCTTTGGAACAATGGTTTCCATCAAGTCACATAGTGACCGGCTCTCACCAGATAAAATAGTAAACTGTAAAACACACACAGCACACAAAGTTCTCCGGGGCAATGAATCTTTGCAGCCCTAGGTCCGTCACAATGCTCCCCCCCTGTTCCATAGTCCGGCAGACCCGGCTAGATCCACCACGGGTCAGCTTGGGGCTGTCCGGGAGCATGAGGCTTCATTCACAAGTCAGTTTGCCGGGAAAGACCGTCCGCATTGCCGTTCTGCTTCCCCGGCCGGTACTGAATAGTAAAATTGTAGGGCTGCAGGGTAATGAATCTGCAGCCCTAGGTCCGTCACAATGCTCCCCCCCTGTTCCATAGTCCGGCAGACCCGGCTAGATCCACCACGGGTCAGCTTGGGGCTGTCCGGGAGCATGAGGCTTCATTCACAAGTCAGTTTGCCGGGAAAGACCGTCCGCATTGCCGTTCTGCTTCCCCGGCCGGTACTGAATAGTAAAATTGTAGGGCTGCAGGGCAAGACTCCAGCGCAACAAGCGTCCATTATCTCCAGAGACTCGATTCAGCCAAACTAAAGGATCTTCCATACAGATAAGGCTGCAGTTTCTTCAAGGTCCACACCAATGCTAAACACTCCTTCTCCACGGCTGCATACCCAACTTCCCTGGGTAACAGCTTGCGACTGATGTAGGCCACCGGGTGTTCCACTTGACTCAGTACTGCTCCCAGCCCAAAAGTGGAGGCATCTGTGTGAACACAAAAACGTTTGTTTGGGTCCGGAGCCGCTAGAACAGGTGCAGAAGTTAAAGCTTTCTTCAGGCACTGGAACGATGTCTCGCACTCTGGGGACCACAGGACCTGTCGGGGAAGGTTCTTTTTGGTCAGTTCGGTCAGGGGCTTGGCGATGGTGCTGTAGTCAGGGACAAACCTTCGATAATATCCTGCTGTCCCCAGAAAAGCTAAGACCTGGGTTTTGGTCCTAGGGGTGGGCCAGTTGGCAATTGCCTCTACCTTAGCTGGCTCGGGGCGCTGTCGCCCACAGCCCACCTGATGTCCAAGATACTGTACCTCGGACATCCCTATGCTACATTTTTCTGGCTTCAGGGTTAGTCCCGCAGCCCTGATGCGGTCTAACACGATACCCAGGTGAAGCTGGTGTTCCTCCCAGGTGTCACTGTAGATCGCGATGTCGTCCAGGTAAGCACAAGCATAATCTTGGAGACCATCAAGGAGTCGATCCACCATCCGCTGGAATGTCGCCGGAGCATTCATCATCCCAAACGGCATGACCTTAAACTGGTACAGGCCAAAAGGGGTGATGAATGCCGACTTTGGAACGGATTCCGGGTCCAGTGGAATCTGCCAGTACCCTTGACATAGGTCAAGGGTAGTCAGGAAAGTTCCCCGGGCGATGCGGTCTAGTAGCTCATCAACCCGAGGCATGGGGTATGCATCTGTCGTTGTACAGTCATTAAGTCGTCGGTAATCTACACAAAACCGAGTAGTACCATCTCGCTTCGGGACCAGTACTACTGGGGATGCCCATGGGCTACTGGACGGCTCGATGACTCCTAAATCGAGCATCTCCTTAATCTCCATCCTCATACTCTCTCGGACTGCCTTCGGAACCCGGTAAGCTGCTTGTCTTAGAGGTGGCTGTCCTGGTGTCTCCACCCGGTGCACTGCCATGGTAGTGTACCCAGGGACAGTGGAGAACAGTCCTGACGTTGCCTAAGGACTTATCCACATAACGTGATCCCGTGCCCCAATCCAGGTGCACATGGGCAGTAGGGATCCGTAGCACCTTTCCTCCAGCCACCCGTACGGCCACTGAGCGTCCTGTTCTTTCATCTAAGGTGACCATCTGGGGCTGAATCAGGGTGATAGTAGCGCCGCTGTCTCTTAATCCCTGGGCTGGCCGCCCGTTGATCCACACAGCCTGGCGATGATGTTGGCGATTGTCAGCTGCTGCCTGAACTGGGTTTCCTTCGTATATTACTCCAAATTCCTCAGCTCCCCAGTTGGCAGATGTTGGCGCCGACTCAAACTCAACACAATGGGCAGCCGCTCACGCTGAGCTAGAAGCCGGTCTAGTCCAGGTAGTTGGAGGTGCCCTCCGGAGACAGGTGGCTTGTATGTGCCCAAGTTGGTTGCAGGTATAGCACCGGGGAGCCACCCTCGGGGTGGATATGCTGCTGGTGGTACGAGGGGTGGATGAAGGAGCAACCGATTGGCATGCTGGGGCCCGAGTGGTCACTGCAGGTTATTGTATTGTCTTACTTAGAGAGGAGCTTAATCTCATCACTCTAACAATGGCCCCTCCAGCCCACCTGCTGCCTTTGGCACAATGGTTTCCATCAAGTCACATAGTGACCGGCTCTCCCCAGATAAAATAGTAAACTGTAAAACACACACAGCACACAAAGTTCTCTGGGGCAATGAATCTTTGCAGCCCTAGGTCCGTCACATGCAGCAGCAAGAAGGTAATAACATTGTATCAAAGCTACCAGGCCTGAGTAGCAGTAACAGTTAAATGACTATAGACCAGAGCCAACTACAACAGCCATACCAAGTAAGAAGCACATCCAGAGTGTTCCCTGCAGCAGGTGAGACTGTGTTGCAATAGAACATGGTCTTCTAATTTCTGGCCCTCATCACCTCACACCAAGTCTTTTCACCCCCACCAACCTCTGCAGCTGCTAATACAGGGGCTGTAACATTTGGGCTGACAGCTCATACCACCAGCCCCCTTGTCCAACCACTGCTACTGACAGGAAGGACTGAATCTGGAGTAACAATTACATTTTACAGCACCACACCTCCATGGTACAAGTTTCCCCCACACATACCACACATCACTGTCACTGTGCTTGTATGCCCCTTCTCACCACCATTCTTGCAACTTCCCTACCAACTCACACCACATCTGTATACCAACCCCCAATGTCACCATTGACTACCAACCCCCTCTACTTGCGTCCTTTCCCACTTGTCCCTACTTCGGTTGCCAGAGCACCAATACAAGCCTCCACGATCATTGCCACTGTGCACTTCTGTCCACTCCGCATGCAGCCCATTCTACGGATGAACACTCTTTTTTTATTTTTGTTTTTTAATACTATAGTTGTCATAATATTTAAATTAAAATACCTAGCCTGTAAAAAAGTAAAGACTATTTTATAGAGATAGTTATTGTCTCACACAACATAAAGTATATTGAATCGGTAGATGTTTATAGTTTTTTTATTAGCATCATCAGTTTACAATAGAGCTACAATACAGCTTTAAGAAGATGTTTTTTGAAGACTTTCTTTACATCTCTGTTTCGTAAGGTATATATGAAAGGGTTAATCATAGGTGTGAATGCCGTGTACATGAATGCAAGGTATTTATCATAATTTGTTCCTTTTGGTTTGACATACACAATGATGGCTGTTCCAAAAAAGAGGCTAGCTACAATTAGGTGAGATGTGCAAGTAGAAAAAGCTTTTTGTTTGCCCTCATCACTCCGAATCTTGGAAATAGTTGTGATGATATGGCTGTATAATCCTATGATTAAAAGAAAGGGTACAACAACATCAAATACAGCTGCAGCACTTGTAGACACACTACTGATGAAGGGATCTGAACATGCCAACTTTTGCAGAGGAGCCAAGTCACAAAAAAAGTGGTCAATTACATTAGGACCACAGAATTCCAAATGTGCTGTGAAGATGGTGGGGATTAAAACAATACCAAATCCAATAATCCATGGAAAAATGGCTAACCCAGTACAAGAAACATGGGTCATTAAGGTTGAATAACGTAAAGGATTGTTGATAGCTAGATGTCGATCAAAGACCATTACAGCAAGAAGATAGCATTCAGTCACACCCAAAGAATTAAAAACATACATTTGGGTAAAGCATCCACTGAAAGAAATCATATTGTTTGCAGCTACTAGATTAGCTAATAGTTTTGGAACAGTGACTGATACAAACATAACTTCAGCAACAGAGAATATGCTAATAAAGAAGTACATAGGAGTATGAAGTGAAGAACTAATGGTAACAAGAGCAACGATGGAGATGTTACCCACAATACATGTAACATAGGTGAATAAAAAAACAATGAATAATAGGTGCTGTAATTGATGCAAATCAGAAAATGCCAAAAGAATAAACTCATTTACAAATGTCTTGTTCATTTCTACCATTCATCCAGAAAAATACCTGTAAGAAAAATGTCAGGTCCTTATTTAGCAACACAATAAATCTGGCTGAATAGCAGACTGTACATTTGACTTAAAACTTTAGAACCCATAATGTAATTTCCATAGGCCTGTAATCTGCAAAACGTATTCTCCCTGCTGATTAAAAATCTCTAGATCTGACTCATCAGGAGGCATTTACACACAGAGAGTACAGGTCCTTTTCTGTAGCATGCTGACCAAACTGGGTCTTTTCTGTTTGGCCTGTGGCTGAATTTTAAATAAAATAAGCTCTAAGTCTCTGAGTACCTTATGTTTCAATGCACCTTAAATATATTTAGCCAATCTGAACCTTTTCTGTTATATGACTTACTTGATATAAGCCTTTTTTGCATATTTTACAAAATAAACAAACAAACACATAAACCATGAAAACATACACAAACATATAGGGGTCTATTCACGAAGCAGCCGAAGGATCTAGCCGTAGCTTCGGCCGATCCTTCGGCTAGCTTCGGCCCCCAGGACCCCTTCGGTTCAGTAGAACCGACGGGCTGCTGTACGGGCTATTCACTATAGCCCGTACAGCTCCCGCACGTGGCCGAGCGGCTCAGTCAAGCCGAACGCATATGCCTCGGCTCGGCTGAGCCGCGCTGAAAGCCAAAGCTGGCCGAGCTTCGACAGCCTGCTTCTGACAGCTGGGCGGAGCCAGCCGTGATCTTACGGCTGGCTTTGGCCACTTGCAGAGAGATCAGCGTCCCTGGTTACCAGCTAACCAGGAACACTGATCTCCAAACAGCCTAACTCTCCCTGGCGCTCCGGGAGTCTCTCGCTCCCAGCCGCCAAGGAGAGAAACATTGCTTCTTCTTTTTTTTTTATTCTGACACGGAGCCGTGTCAGAATAGAAAAAAAAATTAAAAAATGTTTGGCCATAGGAATGCATTGCTAGATTCCTATTGGCTATTTCAATTTGCAATAGCCAATAGCAAACTAGCATTGCACCGGCCCTCTGCTGCAGTTCTCCATCAGGTCCACAACTACTGATTGAGCAGCAGAGGGCGGGAATAATAGCTGGTTTGCAATTGGCTATTGCAAATTGAAATAGCCAATAGGAATCTAGCAATGCATTCCTATGGCTAAAAATTATTTATTTATTTTCTATTCTGACACAGCTCTGTGTCAGAATAAAGAAAAAAAAACAAAAAAAACAGTGTTTCTCTCCTTGGCGGCTGGGAGCGGGAGACTCCCGGAGCGCCCGGGAGAGTTTTTTGTTCTTTTTTTGGATGGCCGCAGAACCGCCAGACAATAGAAAACAGTTGAGCGGAGCTAGCTCCGCACAATCGTTTTCTATTTATTTTTTTCTACTTTTTAAACTATTTTTCTGTCCCTCGGTGGGACCGAGCAGAACAGCCGAGCCGAATGCCGCTCAGCGGCATTGGGCTATTCACTCACTGCTGTTCGGCATCTGTAAGAATAGACCGAACAGCAGCGAGTAGCCTGCCAAAGGTTTGGCTTAGCCGATCCAGATGTTGTGCATGTTCGGCCGACCTGCAGCCAACCTATGTATGGCTGATTTCAGCCGATATGCGGCTGAAATGAGCCGTACCAGCCTGAAGTGAATAGCCGATTATTATAGGGTTTGAGATGATGCTAGTTGCAGTCCAACCACATTTCAGCTGCCTTTGGGGATTCAAAAAAGTACATTTGTCCTTGGGCCACAACCCTTAGTTTGGCTGGATAGATTACAGCCTAGGGAAGATCAAGGAGTTTCAAGTGCTTTGTAACCTCAGTGTGTTTAGCTCTCTGTGGTTTCAATTTAGGAGATAAGTCAAGGAGCAATTATATTTTGGAGCCATTAGTCACCAAGTTCTGCTTGAGTGGGGCCTTATTGATCACAATGTCTCTGTCCTAATAGTTGAGAAACATGAATTGAAATGGTCTTGGCACATGGTCAGGAGGAGGTGAACATGCTGGTATTCTTTGGGAATGTTCCACTGCAAATAACAGTGAAAAACATTTTTTGCCAAAGGTAGTAATCAGCCAGTCCTCAATAAAATTATTTTGGATTTTTCTTCTCTGGGCTGTCTGGGATACCTATGACTTGTATAATATTTCTGTGCAATCAGATTTCTATACCTTCTATCCACACATTGTGGTCTGCTATAATAATATCTAGTTTAATGAATAGTGTTGCCATAGGTTCTATTGCCAGTGTGTCCTTCCAGAACCTATCATCGGGAAGTTTCTAGTGGGAGTGCTTTCCTGTATGGATGGAGAGTCCACTGTTTGACCAAACTGTCGTTGGCAAAGAAGTATTTTTTAATTAAAGTCAGATGTTTTTCTCTACCCTGTCTTGAAATGCTTCCAAATTTTAAATAACTGGGCAATCACAGAGTGATTCACACTTCCAGGAGCCTCTCTATTTGGGACCCTGCATGGTGGTGTAAGATTAGGATAATGTGTGTGGCCTGATGTTGAGCCCTTGTCCAGCCCCCATGATATTGAGAGGTTTGAAACTGGGTGGGTGTTATTATACTATCCTATGTTATAACAGTGATATACAGTACATCTACTGTACTTCCCAGGGACCCAGGCATAACTGTCTGTGAAACGCATTGGAATCAGTAAGTGTAATAATTTCCTTATCTGATATGACATACTATGAAGAGAGGTTTTTTTGAACTATGACCACATCTGATATCTAATGATGATGTACCAACTCATACGGAGCAATATAAACATTGTATGTAAACACTGTGGGGGTGATTTACTAACCTAAACACACGCACGCACCAGGTGTGTGTGATTTTCACACAGCAAAACGTATTTATCAACCAAAAAGTCTCTAAAAGCATATTTCCACTAATGCCATATATAGAAAAATCATGCACATGATGCATATATAATGCTGCTTCACAGTTTAGACAAAAATGGTTAGCTCATGCATTTACATTCCTGCATTCATCAACTCAAGCACCACAACGTAGAGCTAATTTACACAACATCACCTTGGAATTCATGCTTGGCTTTGCACAACACACCTGCTGGGTGTGTACACACTACAAAGGTGTTGAGATTCCACCCATAGATCATGCTGGGAGGGAACACACTACAGAGGTGTATACATGTTCGTGGTGTGTTTATAAGGTTAGTAAATCAACCCCTGTATATTCATAAAATTGGGGAAATTTTTTTTGCCTTTGGAGAAATATATCATATCATATAGGCTAATCTTTTTTATTCTGATTATTATAATTATGATGGATATATGTCATTGTTAAATTGTAAATAATTATGAATAAAACTGTATATTTTTTAAATTGGTAGTTGTATCCTTGTAGCACATTGTAAGCTACTCTGCAATGCAAGAAGGAACTGGTGGTATGCAGGACGTATAACACCCTGGCACGTATGATTTAACTTTAGAGACGAGCCCCTATGGGTGAGTTTTGGCACAGCAAGGTACTTGGGTGAGACTGATACCTCCATGTGGTGATGGTAGTCCGTGTATATAAGTACAGCAATGGTGTATCCCAGGTGTGGGAAATGTCTCTCACAATAGTAATAATTTACTCAACCCTTACACTGTAAGATTAGTCCATAGCAACCATTAAGTATGAGCACAGCAGGGTGCCAACAGATACTTGCGGTTTGTTGATGTCTCACCGAGGAAGTCCCTGAGAGTGTTATTGGAAGTGATGTGGTGCCTTCCTGCCCCAGGGTACTTTAATGTCCGGGTCATGGATGGTGAGAAGCTCCCTTGAGCAGCTCCAATAGATGAGGAAATGGAGCAATGGTGTGGAACCAGGGTCCCATGTGAGGTCTGCGGCAGCAGGTTGTATAGCCTGGTCCTTTGTGCGGTCTGCGGTAGCAGAGTGTAATTGTCAGCGTTCACTGTCACAAACAGTAGGACGCAGACGATTCATTTGGCCGTGGCTTAAGAGCCTGTTGCGCGTGCGCCGGAGGGAGCCGCTAAGGCCCGTCGTGCGCGGGCCCGGATTGCGGCCCCGGGGCGGTACGGGGTAAGTCCCCTACACACATGAAAAGTTTCCCACATGAGTTTGATTGTTTGAGGATATATACTGTACATCAGTATTAATCAGTTGTCAATGTGAACCTTACTGAAACAAATTTAGGCTAAATTTCTAAAACTGACTGCTAAGTGGGATTGTCTGTGTGTTGTATAACCACCTGATCATGCCTAATGTTATCTTTTAAATAGTTAAGATGGCCATACACTAGTAGATTTCTGAACACAATTTTTTTATACAAAAGATCTTTTGTTCGACTTTCTAATAGTTGATGGGGTCAAATCAATGATTGTTTTTGACTGGAGTGCAGAAAAAACTAGAAGGAGCAGGATGGAAACTTTTTCTCGAACAAATGAAATTCTAAAAGTGAATGTGGTTTTTGTTTGGGAAACTCCATTCATTCCAAAATCAAATGTTAAAATAAAATGACATTTTGTTCAACATTCGTCAAGTGTCTGATGGTATTATCGGGTGGTAAAGAAAGATCTTTCATTGTTAAAGAAAGATCTTTCATTCAGAGGTCTATTAGTCTATTAGACAGCTTAAAGGTGCCCATACACTGCACGATTGTCGTATGAGAATCTCGGGAAATCCCGCGATCGTACGAGAATCAAGCAGTGTGAATGAAGACATGCAACCGTTTCTACTGTACGGTCGCACGTCTTTTGTCTAAGGAGCATGCTAGAAAACCAGCCGAAAATGGTACGATTTTCGGCTGGTTTGAATGATGCTCGGGAGACAAATGCCGAACGGGCTGGTGTGTGCATGCGCACACTGCCCGTTCAGCATTGCGATCATCGCAAGTACGATCTGCCTGTTCAAGATGGGCAGATCGTACGTTTTTTAAATTACTTTACAACTATCGCAAGACTAAGGTCTTGCGATGGTTGTAAAGTGTATGGACACCTTTAGACAGCATACTATTACATGGAAAGCTTTGAGCAGACATCTGGAAACAAAAAAAGTAAAATCCCA